GACTTGTGTTTTGCGTTCGTATTCGCACTTGTGCGGTTAGCAAGAGTCGCCATCGACTTTTTATTTTATCCTAAAGGAAAGGTTAAAAAGCACAGCAAAAACCTTTTGAGATATTTCGTGGGTTCGGGGGGTAGATTATGAAAAGGGAAGGTATTAGCACCCTTTTCATCCATGGTTATCCATGGGCTCTTAGTTACTTGGTTTTTTAGATCACTTGCCTTGTTTTTCGATTGCTTTGAAAATGGTGTGTGTGTGGGTGCTTTTTGAAAATGTTTTAGAAAAAGATGCCTTGTTTTAGGCAACTAATGTATTTGACTCGTGTTTGAGTGTTTTACAAAAGTGTGAATCTTTTCGAAAAGATGTTTTCAAATGTTTTTGAGAGTTTGTTTGAGAGTGTTGTGGATTGTGGTTTTTGAAAAGAAGGCAAGTGTTTTTGCAAGTTTGATCTCAAGTAACTAAGAGTTATGTCTACCCTATTGCACTCAAAGGTTTTTGTCATGTTTTAACCCCTTTTAACAATTTTGTTCCACCATTGAAATTGATGGGCAATCTTGCACTTAGGAAGTTTATTCGGGACGGGCGCGGGTCATCGTATGGACCATGAATGCAATGATGCCAAGTGTTTTTGGCAAATTGTTTTGAAGGGACTATGATCATTCCGTTTAGGCAACTTTCGAAAGCGTCATCGAGGGACTTATGATCATTTGATTTTGTTTTGCCAAAGACATTCGACGTGCAAGCATGGCCCATTTTGGAAGGCAACATGTGGGATTACCCTAGGGGGTGCAAGTGTGATTGTGTATTGATTACATGTATTTGTCTTGTATTAGGTTATCTAGCGTTTGATTTTATGTACATACAAACCCTAGGTCTAACCATGGTATAATTGAAAACTGTAAATTGCGGAATATAAATCTACGCTATTACAAAATAATGTCCGGGAGTGGGGGTATAAATGTACAAGGGGATGAGACTTATAGTACCCAATAATTTACAACCAAATCGAATGTGCGATCAAAATGAATATCAAATATACAAATATAAGATAAAGTGTGGGTAGGGCAATATATTGTGTAAGTGCAAATGTATATGTATTGTGTAAATGTAAATATGTACAAGTGCAAAATGTGAAGTTGAGCCGTATTAGGGTTTTGACCTAGATATACGTTTTAATCTGTATTTTGATTTATATGTTAATTATGTACAAATACGTTTCAATAAAAAAAATATTTTCAAGTTAATTGGTATAAAAAGTATTTTATTATTGTTATGTACAAATGAAGGGTTTTGATTAAGTGTTTAAGTTTTAATTACAAGAGTATTTTAGTCAAAATGTTTGTGAATTTAAATATTAGAGAAAAATGTATTTAAATGGTTATGTATGAAAAAAGAATGTTAATTAAAAAAAGTTTCAATTTTAATTATGTATAAAAATGTATAATATGTACAAATCAATGTTTTAAAATGTATGCACAAAATATATTGTCTAAAAAAATGTCTTAACCTTATGATAATAAAAAACATTTTAATTAAGTTAGTATTTTTTCAAGGAATAAAATATTGCTTTTATAAAAATGAAAAGGATAGTTAGTGTTTAATGTAATAGTTAGTGTTTAATGTAATAGAGAAAAAGAAGAAAGGCATTTTAAATGGGCTTCAGGGAAGTATGAACGGGTTAAGCCCAATGGTTGGATTCTGAACGAACTAGGGTTTAGGCAAATGGTTCAGTTGGGAACGAAATTAGGGTTCGTCAGCAGCGGCGTGCGTTGGGTTCGTCTTCTCCGATTAGCAATTCCTTGGGCGTCCTCCGGCCACCAACGCGTTTCAATGCCTTCCTTCCCTCCAAGACATGAGCCTAGCGTCCTTGATTCCTGGTTCGTTTTAATGCCTTATGCTCTTATCTTTTGTCTTTTTACAAATTTGCATGTTTGATCTGAGTTTTAAGTATTTTCTTTTCATTTTTTGAGGTGAAGAAGTAGAGATAGGGGGCGAGGATTATACTACCTGATATTTGGAGGTGGAGGGAAGGTGGAGAAGTAGCGTTCAGGCGGCCGGAGCGGCGAAGGGAGATGCTTGCTACGCTTCTGATTTTTCCTGGTATCTTCGTTCTTTTCTTAGGTTTCTAGGGTTTGATGATGTATGCTGGATTTGCTTGAAAACCCTAATTCGCCTCTTTATCTTCTTCTTCTTTATGTCACTGATGCTTATGATTTGTTTCACTTTCGTTCTTCTGATTTGCCTATGTGCTTGCCCATGATGAAGCTTGCTTCTGAGGCTCTCTGAGTTGCCTTTTGAGTTTGCTACTGTTGAAACGATTTTTTTGACTAGCTTTCTTCTTGTTGCCTTTGTGTTGTTGCCTTGGGATGATTTGCTTGTGTGCTTGCCCTTTTGCTTGCCTAGAACTGTGGCCTCAAATGTTTTGCCTTTGAGTTTGCCCCATGATGCCTTGAGTGATTTTGAACAAATATTGCCTTGATGTTGCCTTCTGAGATGCCTATGATGAAGTCCCCCTTCTGAGGCTTGGTGTTTGAATGTTCAGTGCTGGAACTTGGCTTTGTGGCTTGGGTTGGTTTTGGTTATGGTTAGATAAGTTTGGACATGAGGTTTGTATGTTTAGCATGAAGGTTGAGGCAGGGTTTGGATATCAGGTTTTTTGTTTGTATAAAGGTTGAGACAGGGTAATGGTTTTTGATGACAGTAATGGTGTTTATGATTCTGGTTCTATCAGGTTTTTTGTGTGTATCAAGGTTGAGACAGGTTTGGGGTGTTTTTGAGGAGGATGCAGCATGTAGAGTTTTTGTTGTGTTGTTTTGGATATGGTTATGGCATTGGTTAGATAATATTTTTGTGAACTCAGTTTGGTCTCTCCCCTCTTCCTTCCTATCCTGCTATGCTGCTTTCCCAACTGAGTTTGTATATTTCTCCTTTATCCTGTGAACTGCTATCTTGCTGAACTCAGTTCTGTCTCTTTGATTTTGTATATCTTTTCTTTGACTTGCCTACTGTCTGCTGTGCTGCTATTGAACTGTGCCTATGTTGAACTGCCTTGTACATTTCCTTTTCTATTTCACCCTCTACTGTCTGCTGTACTGAGCTTGTGGACTTATAGACTTGTATATCTTTTTCTGCTATCTTCCTTACTGTCTTGGCCTGCTGCTGAACTGCTATGCCTAACCTGAACTGCTTTATCTCTCTTTACTCTCTCTCCAAAGTACAGTTTGAAAATTTTATATGATTTAAATTGTACTTGCTCTGAAGGGGCTATGACTAGGGAAATGATGAAAAGATTTCTTGCATCTTACATTTTGCATCTTTATCTTTTTGACAATTTTGATCTGACTTTGCCTTTTGATATCTTTTCCAAAAATCTTTCCATGACAGCTTGTATGCTTTTATTGATTTTCTTTGAGTGGACTTTGGGCATTTTGACAATAGCCTTTGCTTTTGGATAGAAAGTTTGGATTTGAACTTTTTCAGTTTGGATTGGATTTTGAATCTTGAATTTCTATGCAGCTTGAATTTGTAACTTATGCATTTTTTTGACATTTGCATAAAAATAATCTTCCCTCTCTGTGAACCGGGAGAAATCCCGTGATTTGCAGAGAGGGCAACTGATCCCAGTCAGTGGCCCCTAATGATGAGCAATTTTACCTGCCTTTTAATTAGATGCTTTCTGACTTTTCTTGTTTCTTTTTGCAGATGAAAGATGGAATGCCGGAGCGGAGTGAAGAACGAAGAGTATTTAGAAAATAGGATAGTTTTTCATTCTATGTAATATTTAAATTAAATGTAAATTATTGTTTGTAACAACAATTTGTAAAAAATTCAAATATCAATAAAAATCCAAATTATCCAATTGGTTCCATTTTCTTTATTGCTTATTTATTTATTTAAAATTCTTAGAATTAAAACAATTGAAAAATAAATTCAATCATTTAATTTCAGAATAATAAATAACTAAAATAAAACAACATTGATCCAATAAACCTGTCTTATCCAACATCCAAAGCAAAGCAGCAATCAACCCAGATAGACTGATCAAACACATGAACACTGTGAATTCAAAACTGCATCTTGTATCTGACTGGCCTAATCAAAACGTACTGAACTCAAACCACCGTCTCTTTTACTGATTAAACCAAGATAAAGCGAATTTTAATCCGAATCTTGAAATAAACCGCAAAGTGTTGTGGAATTTAAATTCTTCTGAGAATATGCCCATAAAACCCTAATTCCCGATTAAATGCCAAATCACGCTCGCTTGATCAAAATTGAACCAACAATCAATCAAACCTTAAGCCCACTATATGAAACAATTCAAAGCTCTGAAAATCAGTGAAAGCCCTAATTTTGCTTGACTGTCAAGAAAAGTCTGTTTGTCCGATTCTTGAGTCAGTTTGAGAAGTCAGGAAATGTTTGAAGCTGAGATTTCTTGTGGAAAAGCGCGAGGGCAAATTTTGGGGTACAACAGATGTCATTATTGCAAAGTTTCATTATAATATATGTATAATATCTATCCCAACGAAATAGACATGGCTATAATATAATATATATATATATATATATATATATATATATATATATATATATATATATATATATATATATATATATATATATATATATATATGGAGATATGTTTAGTTCTTATATGGAAATTTGTATTATAAATTAAATATATGACAAAAATATAAAACAGTGAACAAATGAAGATTCCAAAGATATATTAAAGCGAGTATAATAATAAAACTTCAAGAAAAATATCAATAACAGTGGACATGCGAAAGTTGCATCACAAGGAATATATAATAATAATATGACAAACTGCATTATATATAGAGAGAAGATCTGCTTTATATATGACAGCATAATTGATAGTTTCAAAATCAGAGCCTGCAACATAATTGATAGTCAAATAACAAATTTTCTAATTATCCTGCAATAGCTCCACTCCAGCTTCACAATTCTACCCAATTCTTTTAGAATGCGGATATCAACAGCTAATCAGAGTCTATATCAGATACACCTTCATTCAATTGAGGGATTGGAGCAAGTTCTACAAAAATAAAGATAAATATTACTCAATATAAAAGATTAACAATGCTCAACAAAAAATAATATAAGTTATAAGTAAATTACCTAATTCCAAATTTTCTAACTCATCCACAAGCTCTTCAATATCCACCGACACCGGGGGAGATTTACACCAATTTTGTGTACAAATTAAAGCTTCAACTGTTTTTGGCGTAAGAGAGCTTCTATAACAAGTAAGCACTCTTCCTCCGGTAGAGAAAGCGGACTCTGAAGCTACAGTAGACACAGGCATGGCCAATATGTCTCTAGCCATTTGACCAAGAATAAGATACTTGTTAGAATTCACCTTCCACCAGTTCAAGATATCAAAACCAGGACCTTTCTTCTCCAAATTCTCCATGAGATACAAATCCAATTCATTTTTTTGCATGCTCTCATTAAGATTCATGTCCATCTCAACCTCTAAAGCAAATGCATCCTCTGGTGCTTTAAGTTCTACCAATTCCACTTCTTGAGTGGAATGTGTAAGATTTTCAGTTTGACCGTTACCAAGGAAAAGCCTATAACTCTCAAATATTTTATTTAATGTCTCCTCTGTTTTTTTGTACAAAGATACAACAACTCATTTGTATATGCCCTGTTCAATCCCCACCTAACAAACTGCATCTTATGTCGAGGATCAAGCACAACAGCAACAAAGATCAACATATTCATTTTTTCAACCTTACCCCAATATTTATCATACTTAACTTTCATATTTTCAGCCATAATTCCAAGCAAGTTGTCAGAACTTTTTAATTCTATCCACCCATTTAATGTAGTCAATATCTTAATATGTTCATTAAAATATTGAGAAGAGGTCACAAAAGTACTACCTGAAACCTTCTTTGTGATATCAAAAAATATTTTCAAAAAATTAACAAAGCATTTTGCATTATCCCAATCCTATTTATTAGGAATACCATCTTTCATCAGCACAAAATCAGCACACTTCTCACTCAATCTCTTAAATGCCCTTTGAAACTTCAGTGCACTTTCAAGCATAATATATGTGGAATTCCACCTAGTGGAAACATCCAACTGAACAATTGATTTTTCTTGTAACCTAACTTCTTTAATGCAAGTTTTAAACCTATCCATACGACCTGGAGATGCACGAACATATCTAACAGCATTCCTAATCTTACTAATTGAAGAATGATAGTCTTCTAGTCCATCTTGGACCACAAGATTCAGAATATGTGCACAACAGCGAACATGCATATGTTCCCTTTTCAATGGATGAGAATTCCAATCGTTCATTGTATTTTTCAAGTAAGTTATAACAACATCGTTAGAACTAGCATTATCAACCGTAATGGTGAAAACATTACCTATTAGCCATTCCTCCAAACATTTTTCAATTTTTTTGCCGATGGTTACTCCTTTGTGATTCACAATTGGACAAAAATTCATAATCCTTTTATGGATTTTCCAATCATGGTCAATGAAATGTGCAGTGAGACAAAGATAACTCAAATTTTTCACAGATGTCCAACAATCAGTTGTAAGACAAACACATTGATTTGATTTATTTAGCACACTTTTTAACTTATGTTTCTCACTCGTGTATAAATCCCAACAATCTCTAGCAATTGTAATCCTTTTAGGAATTGAGAGTTTAGGTTGCACAACACTCATAAAATGAAGAAACCCCTTCCCCTCAACAAACTTAAAAGGCAACTCATCAACAATAATCATCCTAGCTAAAGCTTTCCTACATGCCTCAGCATCAAAATGAACACCAGTGAGAACACTACCAGATCCATTCCCATCTTCTTTTTTCAATTGTTGAAGAACAAGTGTCTGTTGAGTGGGATCAAGAGACTCTTTTGGAAACTTCTTACACTGATGCAACAAATGGTGTTTCAAATTACTAGTGCCATTTCTTTGTGAATCAGCAGCATATGTTACATCACACCAATTACACTTAGCTCTTGATCCTTGTGATACGGTGGGAGAACTAACTTGAGGTTTTGCGTTCGTATTCGCACTTGTTCGGTTTAGCAAGAGTCGCCACCGAATTTTTATTTTATCCTAAAGGAAAGGTTTAAAAAAGCACAGGAAAAACCTTTTTGAGATGTTTCGTGGGTTCGGGGGTAGATTATGAAAAGGGAAGGTATTAGCACCCTTTTCATCCATGGTTATCCATGGGCTCTTAGTTGCTTGGTTTTTAGATCACTTGCCTTGATTTTTTTGATTGCTTGAAAATGGTGTGTGTATGTGTGTTTTGAAAACGTTTTTGAAATAGACGCCTTTGTTTCGGCAACCATTGTAATGACTCGTATTTGAGTATATACAACGGTGTGTATCTTTTTGAAAAGATGTTTCAAAATGTTTTTGGAAGTTTGTTTTGAAAGTGTTTGTGAAATGTGGTTTGAAAAGGAGGCAAGTATTTTTGCAAGTTGATTTCAAGTAACTAAGAGTTTTGTCTACCCCTATTGTACTCAAAGGTTTTCTCTATGTTTTCAACCCCTTTTTAACAATTTTGTTCCACCATTGAATTTGGTGAACAATCTTGCGTTTAGGATGTGACCGGGACAGGCGCGGGTCATCGTATGGACCATGAATGCAATGGTGCCAAGTGTCTTTGGCAATTTTTCTTGAAGGGACTTGATCATTTTGATAGGCAACTTTCGAAAGCGTCATCGAGTGACTTATGATCATTTGAATTGTTTTGCCAAAGAAACTCGACGTGCAAGCACAGCCCATTTTGGAAGGCAACATGTGGGATTACCCTAGGGGGTGCAAGTGTGATTGTGTATTGATTTCATGCATTTGTCTTTGTATTAGGTTATCTAGCGTTTGATTTTATGTACATACAAACCCTAGGTCTAACCATGGTATAATTCGAAAGCGATAAATTGCGGGAATTTTAAAGTCTACGCTATTACAAAATAGTATCCGGGAGTGGGGGTACAAATTTGCAAATAGGGATGGGACTTAAATAATTACAACCAAATCGAATTGCGATCAAATGTAATATGTATCATGTATAGCAATGTATAAGAATAGCAAATGTAGATGTAAATGCGTTAATGCAATTGTGTAAGTGTATGTATTATGAAGCTTATTTACAAGTGTTGAGAATATTTAACTTAAGGGGAAAATTAAGTATTGTTAATTTAATGAAAAGAATTGAATATTTTGTTTATTTAATTTTTGTATTCTTGTACAAGATATTTTAAGAAAAAAAAGGAAAGAGTGTTTTAAGTCTTAATTATATTATGTAATATTGTTTTATGTACAAATAAAATATTTTAATAAGAGAAAAGAAAATGTTTTAAGAAAAAGTACTTAACTTTAAAAAGTCTATTTTTATTATGTATTAACACTCATGTATTTTTTTATTAATATGTATAAGCAAGAAAATTTTAATAAAGGAAAATGTTTTAAGTAGTTAATGCTTGTATATTTTCTAAAACACAACAATTAATAATATTTTGAGAAAAAAGAAAAAAAGAAAAGGTGTTATTTTATTTAACATAAAAGAAATATTAGATATTAGTATAAACTAAATTAATAAGTAAAAGAAATGTTAATAAAATGATAAAAAAGATTAGTTGTGTTAAAACAAAAGAAATGGGCTAAGGGGTTTTTGGGCCCAAGTAAAATGGATCAAAAGAATTAAAAGAAAGGGGGTGCCAATTGGAACTCGTTTGGGCTTAAGGGAAATGAAGAGGGTTGAGGCCCACTGCTTTGAGACAAATGTTTTAGGGTTCTTTGGTTTTGTTCATTTTGGAAACGGCTTAGGGTTTGTGAACAACGCAGAGGCGCCGTTCTGCTTCGCTTTGTTCGTTCCTCTTCATCTTCTTCCATGTAAAGGCCACAAAAACGCGACCCTCCGCCTAGAGCCACCGCGCCATCGTCCATATCCCATTCTCTTCCATGGGTCATTCAACGGTGGTTCATGCGAGGTAACATTTTCGCCTCAGTCTCGTTAGGGTTTTATATCTTGCACGTTATGATTTTGTGATTATTGATTCTGATTTTAGCTTTATTATTGTTGTTTTCTGTTGAGGTGTGAAGAGAAGGAAAAATTGTATTACCTTCGTTGGGAGGAGGACAGTGGCTCTGGAGGCACTGTGGCGGCTCGACGGCGAGGGTTTGATGATGCAGCTAGCTTGCTTGGATTCCTGGTATTCTGTATTGCTCTTCTTTGCTTGTTGGTTCGATGATGACACTTGAGAACTTCTTCTATCTGCCTGGATCTGTATAACTGTACTCTTTTTCTCTTCTTCTGTTTAGCCTTGCCTTTGCCTATGTACGCTTCTTTATCCTCTTCTTCTTGCTGCCTTTATTGCCTAGCTTGATGTGTATGGTTGCCTGTTGCTTCTTTATCCTCTTCTCTTTCACTTTCTTCAGTTGCCTTGTGTGCTTGGATATGATGTTTGGACTTTGAATGTGGTTGCCTTTGTTTGTATGCTAGCTTTGATGGTTTTTGCCCAGTGATGAACCTTAGGTTCTGAGGGCCTGAATGTTTGACTTTGAGTTGCCTCTTAGGGATTATGAGATGATGATTTCTTGCCCAGTGATGAGCCCTAAGTTCTGAGGGCTTTGGGGGATTCTGTATGTGTTCGAATGTTTAGGCTATGGCATTGGTGGGATGTTTGACAAAGTTTTGACAGGTTAGGACAAAGGCTTTGAGGTGCTGTTTTTGTTTTGAATGGTAAGGCTTTTTGGGTTTTTTGACAGGGTGGGAATGTTTGTAATGCAAGCTTACAGTGGTTTAGGCCTGTATGCTTGTATCCAGGTTTAAAGGCTTGATGAGGCTTGCTTCAGGCTTCAGGCTTGATGACTGATGTAGTTTTGTGTTTTTGTGAACTGGTTTGGAGGTTTGGAGGGCTTGGAGGTTTCAGCAGCTTGACAGTTTTGTGTTTTTGTTAAGGCTTTGTGAGGCTGGACAATTTGTGGTTATCGTTTGATAGGTTCAGGCTTGTATGTTTTGAGCTTGTTGAATGCCGGGGCCTTTGACAAGTGAAGGCTTTGGTGTTATATGCCCCAAAAAAGGGTTCAGGGTTTGAATCCAGTTTGAAGGTTTAATTGTGGAAAGATAATTTTGTTTCTTTTTATTGACAGTTTTTATTTGCATTCTGATTTATTCATATCTCTGCCTTCTGTCCCACTGTTTTATTGCAGTTTTACATATATTGTCCTCATGCCTAAACCTATAAGCCCATTCTTTTCCTCTCTTCTTCTCTCTTTAGTACAGTTAAAACATTAAATAATGTTTATGTTTGTACTCCTTTCTGAAAAGGCACTGCTGGAAAATGATGCATTTGACTATGCTTGCAATATTGGTTTTTTAACCTGCATACTTTCTTTCTTCAGCTTTCCTGCATCTTTGTGACAGTATGGAGTAGCCTTTGTATCTTGACATCCTTCCATATTTTGGACAGTTTGACAGCTTTTTTGACTTAGTTGCTTTGGTTAGGTGATTCAGTTTGCCTTTGGATTTATACTTGCACATGCTGTTTGTTTTGAACTATGCAGGTTTTGAATTTGACAGTTTGTATTTGTGCATTTTACAACTTTGTGCATTTCATGTTTAGCAAGCAATATTCATCCCTCTTTGTGAACTGGGAGAAATCCCGTGATTTGCAGAGAGGGCTAACTGATTCCAGTCAGTTGCCTTTAATGATGAATTCTGAATTAACTGTCTGTCTCTTTAATTTCAATTTATCTGCTTCTGACTTTTTCTTCTTTTCTTTGCAGATAAAAAAGTCAAATGGAGAGGAATAGCAACAAATGGAGGATGAAGAATTGAAGACCTGGGAATTTAGGATAGTTTTATTTAAATTTAAATTACTGTAACATTATTATTGTAAGTATTTTGTAAACAATAACAATTATACAAATAATGTTAAAGATAAATAAAAAAGAGTCCTTTTAACCAATTAATTCTTTTTATTTCCAATTGTTTATTTTATTATTTATAATTCTTTAAATTATAATAATTGAAAATAAATTCCAACCATTTAACTTAGAATAAATAAATAATTAAATAAACATTGTGGTTTTAGCATCGATCAGTTAATAAACCCGGCGCTTCAAAAATCCAAAGCAATGCACGGTCAATCAAACCAGACGACAGTTAATCAAACAACACATCCACATGCCTCCTTTCACTGATTGAATCCAAACAAATGCAAATTAACAATCAGCAGCCTCAGTTCTTATTTCAGAGTAACTTGAAAAGCATTGATAGAACTAACTCTTCTTGAGAAATATGCGCACAAAACCCCGATTCTTGATTTAAATGCCAAAGAAACGTTCGCCTGATCAAAGTTGAGCCAAAATCAACCAAACCCTAAACAAACTATTTGAATTATTCCAGAGCCATGAAAATCAATGAAAAACCCTAATTTTGTCTGACTGACGAGAAAAGTCTGTTTGACCGATTCTTGAGCCAGTCTGAAAAATCAGGAAAAGCCTGAAGCTGTGGTTTCTTGTGGAAAAATACGAGAGCAAATTTTGGGGTACAACAGTTGCCCCTGTTCAATCTTCTTGAACCTGAAGAGTTAGGTTGGCAAGTTTGCCTTTCGCGACTCGAGGGTAAAAGGAGATTGGACACTAGAGTGCCCAGAAAATTTGCACTCGGTGATGTGATGGTAGAGGGAATGGGCTTACAGATGCCATTTGGAGATGGGCTTAACGATGCCGTCTAGGGATGTGATAGAATCTTGTCGGGGGATGGGCTT